TACATGCGCAGTGACGTCTCGAAAGAAATGTCACGTTTCCGGTTGCCGTCGTCAGGCCGGCGACGTCTATTGCTTAAGGTGCCTATTATTTAAATGAATGCCACGGAAAGCTACGTCTCTAAGACTTACCGGATGGCACGTTTTTGTCGATCCAACAGTATTGATCAAAATGAATTGCGTGGAAATAGGGCGTTATCTGCAAAACAAGGAAAGCAAAATGAAAATTTAAAAAGTTCAAACTCAATGCATTATAATAAAGGAAACGTTCTTTGAAGTGTGTTATCACTTTGCTAACGATATTATTTGCTTGATACAGGTAGAAGAAACGATCCTAAAAGAAGGAAATATCTTGGGTGTCTGGAAAACCCGAATAGCGAGTAGCAAATAGTCGCGAACAGCGAATAGTCCCGAATAGTGCGAATAGTCTCGAATAGTGCGAATAGTGGCGAACAGTCGTCAATAGTCACCGCTATAGATCTCATAATATCCTGCATTAATTAATTATCCAAATAAGCAACAGAATTTCAGTGAATGTATTACCTTTTCTTCTCCGGACTGACAGGCTAGTAGGCTGTCCATCGCCGACATTAAGAAAACAGAAAACACAAGGATAACCCAATAAAGACGTATTGGCGCTTTTGCAGCGGTTAAAACAGAGGAAATTACGTTTAGAAACACCTTTTGTCCTGATAAGCGTCTGTGCTTTTTAGCGAGAAAATCCCATCCTACGTTGCTGCGAGGTTGAATGCGAGATATATTGGGTACCCTATTTCCTACCATTTGTCACTATTTGCCACTATTCGCACTATTCGCACTATTCGAGACTGTTCGCCACTATTCGCACTATTCGAGACTATTCGCACTATTCGTACTATTCGCTATTCGCTAATCGGGACTATTCGCTGTTCCCTATTCGCGACTTTTCGCTATTCGCCATTCGGTTTTCCAGACACCCAAATACCTTGAAGTTACCGTCTGTATTCATTAAATGAAGCACATCTCACGATACGATCGATTTCATTCTTCCGCCTTTCCATCAGAACCAGACGACAGCTTTTCCATTTCAGCGATCAGCGGTTATGTAATCAATTACATGCATTATCACCTTGTGTTTTGTGAATATCGTGGCTTCCAAGGAAATCAAGCGGTTCATTCAAAAAATGGCGAATATAGAAGCCAGATAAATTGAAAGGATAATTTTACTTACCATGAGCGTACGAACAACCTCGACTACGAAAACGAAACTCTGGAGGATTTCCCAACATTCTGAGAGAGCAGGTTATCATATTACGTCATGCATTAATTATTCACTAAAGTTCTCTAGTTGTCATGATCGCTGAATCATGGTATTAAAGCATTTTTTGTTAATCAGCCAAAAGACTGAAAGAGATGGCGTAGATATGGAAGAAAAAAAATGGTCAAAAATTTTCCCATCGCTCGTATCAATGTGAATGAAAAACTATCGAAAACACAGTCCATAATTTCGAAACGGTTTCCACTGAAAATAACGGTTCCATTTGTTTTTGTATATATTGTTCAATATAGGTATGTAGGTAGCCAAAATTTCTGAAAAGTGTAGTGGGATTGTTATAAAGCAAGAGATTATCAAGGTACTTACCTTGATAATCTCCCACCCTACTAACGGCGAGTTACCGTCCCGTGCTCAATTCAGCAGCTGCCACTACATACCATAAACTCTTTCTTTGTATTTTTTTTATATATATATATAAGAATATGTTTTATAATAGTATCGAGGCTGAAATTTGCAAAAATATTAGAATTTTTGTAAGAACAAAACCGAGGCTGAGATTTTCAAAATAATGTTATAAAACACAACATCGCTTTTCAGTTTTCGGAACATGTTTCGAAGTTTCAAACATCATCATCAGCCATAATGAATACATAAGGTTTACAGAAAGATCGTTATTATATATGTAACAGCCTATAGAATGAGCCTTTATAAATTTAAATTAACGTAAAATGCAAACTTATTTAAAGTGGTACTATGATCAAATTTTGACCCCCTGATTTTTTCGGTGGATTACATAGAATGGCATGAAAGA